TGGTCTTTAGACCCTTGTCTCAGAGCTGGACTAGTAGTGCCGCCCTGAGCTGCTTTTTTCCTTGTTAGGCAATGCCCCTATATAGTCTAGGGGGTGTGTCAAATGTAACTTAGGGCGTTACTGTAGTCTATACTGGATAGTGCCTTAGAGGGTACAACACCCTAGTCTATATATCCTTGTACACACACATTCTAGTTCAATCATTCTCTTTCTGATAATTGGTTGGGGTAAGTTTGTGGATAATCTCTGTAATGAGCTGGCGAAATGGGTTGGGCATTTTCGCTAGCTACACAAAATTGCGCATGTTTCGTGTGCTCAACTAGTGTTACTCGAAAGTGATTGGAATGTGAACCGTTCAATTGTCGCGAAACTAATCGGACGGTTAATACATGCTTTTGTGTTTTGGGGCGTTATCAATTTCGAAATGATCTGACGGCACAGAATGAAATGAATGTAATCGACGACCAGTTGAATTTTGGCCGAAATGTTGGGATGTGAACCGTCCGATCGGACCTTGTTGCATGTTAAATTATGTATTTGATATATATATATATATATGTATATATATATATGATGGTAGGCTTGGTAGGTGTTACTGGATTCTACTGTAGAGGGTGCAACCCCCCTTCTTGTATCCCTCTCTCTTAGATTCCAATACTCTCTTCTCTCTCGACATTTTCCTAGTACCTAAAACCTCTCGCCATTAATGGCGTCTCATCCTACCTAGCTAGCTTTGACATGGTATCAGAGCGGGAGGTCCGCCCTGCTGGGCCGCCTCCTCATGCTTCCGCACATTCCGCTCCTCGCTCCTGTCCTTTCCGCGCCGCCGCCACGGCCATGTCGTGCGGCTGTGACGGCGTCGTCCTGCTGCTGTGACGGCGTCGTTGTGCTGCCGTGACGGCGTCTACGCGCCAGAGCGCCCGTGATGAACCCAGTGAGCACCCCCTGTAAAAGCACCTCCGGTAGCAGCAGCAGCTCCTGCAAAGCGTCTACTCTGGCTGGCTACACTGGCTACGTGGACTTAAACGGCAAAGGGTAAGCTAATTTAATACTGCTCCTCGAATCATGTCTGCTGATTCTAAACAAATGAGCCATACAACCACATTTTCTTCTTACGCATTCTGCTTCCCTCCATGTGCACTTCTCCCCTGTCCCCATTACAGTCTCCTCCTGCATTGGAAAGTGACCTCTGATACCAGTGTAGCTCTGGCCGTTGAGGCGAAAGCAGGCAGTGGAGCAGAGAAAGGGTGGTTCTCCGTGGGTTGGTCCGGATCCGGTTCTATGGTCCCTGCTGACGCAGTTATCGGGAACGTGAAAGGCCTGTTGCCTGTAGCGAGTTACGCTATATCGGGGTATAGTGCGAGTAAAATCGCGGTCACTTCGCGGTTTGCAATTGGGCAGCCAGAGCTGCTGACGTCAACCAGTGGCGTCACCATGAAGTACGTTGGCATGGTGTGGTGTGAGCATGGTGGTGGTGTCAGCATGATGGTGCAGGTGTTTAACTTTGCGATGTTTTTGTTCACGCTCTCGTGTCTTTCTCGTGTAAATTCTTGCGTCTCTCTCGTATTCTCTCCAATCTCTCTGTGGTACTCCAGCTCATGTGCACATCACACATCAGATTTCATCATCAGATTTCGGAACACCACATGGATTTGTTCTCCTCCTCATATAGCATAGAGTTATTTTCTCCCCTTTCGCAGGTTTGGTCGCAGCAAGGCTGACGGGGAGGGCATAGCGGCGATCAACTACAAGGGAAAGAACAAGATCATCTGGGCATACTCGGGCGATGGAGCTCGCACCATCAACGACCACAAGAACAACTAGTAAGACACGACCCTGCAGAACCTTTCTTGTGTGTTTTGTGTGTGTGTGTGTGTGTGTGTGTGTGTGTGTGTGTTGTGTTGTGTGTGTGTGTGTATGTGTGTGTGTGTGTGTGTGTGTGTGTGTGTGTGTGTGTGTTGTGTGTGTGTGTGTGTGTGTGTGTGTGTGTGTGTGTTGTGTGTGTGTGTGTGTGTGTGTGTGTGTTGTGTGTGTGTGTGTGTGTGTGTGTGGTGTGTGTGTGTGTGTGTGTGTGTGGTGTGTGTGGTGTGTGTGTGTGTGTGTGTGATGTTTCTAACTATCCTCTGGGCTTGTTGTCATTCTCTCATTCTCTCCCTTGTGCAGTGGCACCACAACTGTGGATTTCTCCTGCAAGCCTGCACCAACCAAGTGCTAGAATCCTCCCATCCTCTTCTCCCGAACATTCGCAGGATTCCCTGCCTCTTCTCTATTTCCCCACCCCCAAAACAACCTCCTTTTGACAATCACCTTCTTCCCTTAGCCCCTTATTATAAAGGGCTTGCCCGTTATTAAAAAGGGAAGTTCACAGCTCAGAAAGAAGGGGTCTTAGACATACACTTGTTACTGGTGCCATTTACGGCACCTTATAAAGTGTTGAATGCTCATCATGGCATCTAATAAAATGGTTTTGCATGACGGCTTTGCAAATCCCCCTTGCAATCAGCATGAAGCCTTGAAGCTCTGAAGCATTACGCAAAATTAGCTTGCCAAAGTAGGGAGCTTCTTGTTAGAGTAGCGGGAGAAAGTGACTAGGAAGAGGGGGAAGGGAGATACAAGTACAAGAATATAAGTGTGACTGACCTAGCTAGTGTTAGAATACTAGAATAATGGAAAAAAGAGAGTACAAGGAAGATAAAGGGCTAGAGACATACTCTCTAAGAACACAATCCTATCTAGCCTATAACTTCTACATATAAAGATATGTATTAGTTGACACTGGTAGAATGTCGAGAGGAAAAAGTGACTAAGGGAGGAAGGATGAGGCTTACAAAGGTGGGAATGTTGTTAAATTATATATGTTCGTATATAATTGTAGGCTTGGTAGTCTTACTGAACTTTACTGTAGAGGGTACAACACCCCTCCTTGTATCCCTCTCTCTTCTATTCTGATACTCTTTTCTCTCATAAACTTCTCACCTACCTCCTTCCTAAACCTCACGCCACTCGATGGCTCCTCCTAGCTAAACCTCATGCCTTTCCTAGCTTCCTAGCTAAGCTAGCCTTCTAACAAATCTACCCTCTAAGAACTGACCTAACTAAGGCTATAACAAATATACTGTACCTAGCATAGACAATTATATTTGTTGACACACCCCCTAGCCAAGATAGTGGCAGTTCCTAACAAGAAAAGTACACCAGGGCAGCACTACTAGTCCGACCTCTGATGAGTGTAATAAGAAAACTCAGGGCAGTACTACTAGTCTGACCACTGAGACAAGAGGCCACAAGGCCAGTCAGCAAGTGTAGCAAGACAAGCAGGTATAACACAACAAGTACAGGCAGGTATAGTAGGTATGATTCAGGATACAAGGAGAGGTGCTGCTACTGAGGCTAGACCAAGCTGAGTACAGAACCGTTGATGGTCACAAGATGCAAGTGCCTTGGTGAAGTAATCAGCCGGTGTTGGCCTCTAAGGCCAACTGTACTACACGGACCTGATCGCGCTGCTGCAACTCTCACATCAGGAAGTACCACAGCTGGATGTGCTTCGCCGCAGCCGACAGCTGACTCGCGCCTGCCATCCCACCGTCGCGGAGCCCGGCCACGCCGCCGAGGGCTGCAAGCTCCGCCGCTGCCGGCAACTGTCGTTGAAGCCGCCGCCGCCGCAGCTGGTGCCGCTGACCACGCCGCCGCCGCCGCCGCTGTCGACGCTGCCGCCGTTGCAGCTGCTGCCCTCGCTGTCGACATCGCCGCCTCCCGCGCCGAGGGGTTGACCATGCTGGAGTAGCAGTCGTTGCTGTTGAGTATGGGGGTGCTAGGCTTAGGGGGTGTGTGGCTTAGTGTGTTGTGTGTGTGGTGTGCTTTCAGCTACCAAGCCTAGGGGGTGTGTTGAATTATATATTTGATATATATATGAGGGTAGGCTTGTATTACTGAATTCTACTGTAGAGGGTACAACCCCCTTCTTGTATCCCTCTCTCTTCTATTCCAATACTCTCTTCTCTCTCGACATTTCTTAGCACCTAAAACCTCTCGCCATTCATGGCGTCTCTTCCTACATAGCTAGCTTTGACATTGCGTTCACCTGAAATTTGTGTCCTGATTGTGTCTGGTGCCAGGGTCCCTTGTATTGAATCGGGACAGGTTTTGTACAGTTTTGGGGCAGGTCATGCCCAGGACACTTTGGTGGGGGGTTTGTAATAGTGTCGGAGACTTTGGGGGGGGGTCTAAGACCTGCAATACATGTGGGACAGATTTGAGATGCCCACTTTTTGGTGACGATGGAAAAATGTGTGCAAGACTCAGCGAACAGAAACGGAGCGGCGAATAAAACGGAGCAGCGAATGGAAAGGCGTGGCATGACAAAGGTATTACTGCTTACTTAGAGAATCGGCAATCGCTTGTGCTTCAGCGAAAGGCGATATCCCTGCAACTAGCTAAGGGCGAGAGTCAAAGCACCATCCTATGCCAAAGAGGCGAATGCATCCTCATGAACGGCCTCATAGTAGCAGTGTTTAGACTGGCTAGACTGGGAGAAAGAGACTGGGACAACGATAACGAGATTGGGGGCGTCTGGAAATGAGGGCAGACGTGCGACTTATCCTGGGATTGACTACGAAGAAGGGATGATTGTCACTCTGTTTGTAGGTGCTGAACTTCCCACTGACGAGCTCCTAATTGCCAAGGTTCGACTGCGAGGGAGATAGAGAACAAGGAACGCAATCAGAGGAGAACCAATAAAGCCCTCGGACCGGTTTGTTTGAAGTGAAGTGCAATAATTTATCAGGACGCTTCGCCAAGGTCCCCCATTACCATACCCATCCTTTTGATATTCTTGATTGAAAGCATCAAAACGTACAGGATCAAACTGCACCGCAATCGCAGCGCACCAACAACATCAAACTGGAAATGAGAAATACCATATTTCTAAGGGTTTCGCGGTGACTCCAAGCCTCAATGTGCTTCGGGTACGTCAGAACTGAAACTTTTCTTTGGCGCATTGTTGCCTCAGGCCGTATACGCAATTTTGGTACACATGCAAGATTTCCATTGTATATATGATGTGCTACCTGCACTAAAACCAACTCGTAGCCATGCCATTCTAGTATATTGCTACTATCTATATGCATGGCTAAACAAATGCTGAATACACGAGCAAGCTATAATGAAAACAGCATATTTACACTCAAACAAGGGGGCTGTTGCACATTTGTCAGTTTCTTCCTCCTCTCCATCTCTGCCCTATCCTCCCCACCTCATGCTTTATCTCCTCGCCTGCCGCTGCTTCCTGCTGCCCGGATACACACGGCACCCTCCACGAGGCCCTCCCTCTTGTCTGGCCAGCCCACATGAGTCATGCCCCCTCCCGAGACCAGCAGCTGTTCTCACGACCCCTCCCCACACCCCGTCCTATCACCCCCCTTCCCTCCCATCACCTCGCATCAACAATCACGTCGCACAGCCTAGGCATCAGCTGCATCACACGGTAACGACACCGATAGGATGGGGGTGACGTGATTGGACGGGGTAA